GCTGGGTTCTACTTTGAGAAATTCCCACCTTTGGATAGAAAAACAAAATTTGCTCCCAAAATAAAGATAAAATCTCACCTAAGGAAAGCTACATTTTACGAAGCTATTCACTTTGCGATTTCTTCAGAAAGGCTCCTTGGAATGGCTTAGTCAAGCATTAGATATTAGGCAGCCATTACAATAATTACGACGATCGCTCAGTGCCACAGAAACATGGGCACCCTGTAAAGACTGCTCACCAGTCTGTGTTTATACCGAGTGTTTATACCGAGAGAAAACAGGAGCCCGAGTAACCGGAGAGCGGAAGGCAGCGAGCAGAGGGGAAAGTCTTTGTTTTGTGAAGACAGACTTGGGAGGCTTGTCTCCCCAAATGGCTTTGGCTGTCTAATCATCTTGTCTATTCAAACACTGACACTGTGGCCCTTCCTGTTCCTGCATGTTAACAATATCTCTTAAGGTTCTTTCCCTTTCACGTATCTGTCTGGTGGAAGCACCATCCGGGAGTATGCCTAGGATTTAGCTGACCGCAAGGTTGGCCGTTCAAATCCACCCGCTGCTCCACAGGCGAGCGATGGGACTGTCTGCTCCCGTAGGCTGCACAGCCTCAGAAACCCTATCTGGGGTCCCCCTGAGACAGAATTGACTCGGTGGCAGTGGCGTTAGTGCGCTACGGCACATCTCTTCCCAATACTGTACTGACGTCACCTTGGTGGTCTGCAATCAGCCGCAGAAGAGGTAACCATGTTTGCCAACACATCGAGGGATCAGCTTAAGTCCTCTCGGCAGAAGGTGGGCTTAACGTGCCTTGATTTCAACAATCTGCCAGGCCAATTGTCTCATTGACTACGCTTAGTCCTGCCTGAAAGAATTAGCCAGTCCCCTCCCCCCCATCTTTGTGGCTGGACATGCCATCCTTCAAGCGCAGTTTGCAGTTCCACCCCAGATCCCTGTAGGCCCCACAGTGTTGGGGAACAATCCTCCCCGGCCAGAGAGTCCTTGGTTCCCCTTACCTGGCTTTTGACCAGTTTGGGCAGGGCTGGCATCAGAAGGCTCATGACCTTGTCGGCTAAGGAGTTGACCAGGAAAGACAGCCTTCCAGAGAGGAGAAGGGACAGAGAGATTTGGAAGCGTCAGAGAAGGTCACTCTTTCCCTGTGTTCCAGCAGTGGGGATGGAGTCCAGGGGAGGAAGCAGTTTGCCCAGGCTGCTTCGTGGCTTGTCAGGGAGAGAGCTGGGTGTAGACCAGCTCTAGAGGCCAGGCCTAGCCAAGGCAGAGAGTCCTCTGGGACCCGTCAGAGAGAGGGTTGTCATGAAACTTGTGCTGGACTTCTGGAGGAGGGTCATTGGCCCGTCTCCCCATTCCCTGAGAAGAAGGGAAGCCCAGTATTTCGGGGCAGCTCTGAGGAGGGACACAAACTAACCACACAGAGCTCTTTATGGGGATTGGCTGATCGAATCTGGGGCGGTTCCCACTCCACTTTACAGCCCTGGAAGGTGAGGTCCAGAGAGGTGACTCGGATGGACGGTCCGGGCAGCAGCTGTGTCTGCCTGACCCCAAAGCCTTTGTTTTCACACCACGACTCCACCTGAGTGCCTCTGGGCCAGTTTGAGGGGGTCTTAGGAAGGAGGCCCCTCTCTACCTTCACTGTTTGTCCTATCTCTAAGCTTTGAATCCCACCATGACTGCTTCTACCCTGGTGTCTTGATTCCTAGACCCAAAGTTAGGAGGGACAAGTGCCTTTCTTTCTCAGGACCCCTGGACTCCATCAGTACAATGAGGGAAGATGCCCCGCCCGCCACCCCCATGGCTGGAGCCCAGTGGGAGGCTGGCCGCACTCACTTCTGCAGCAGGCTGATGCGCAGGCTTCCATGGCTGTTGGAACAGTGGCTGAGGACCAGGCCGCTCCCGCCACTCTTCATTTGGATGGTGGCTTGGACCTCTGTCTCCATGTGCATCTCCACGATGGTCTTGACCAGGGGTCTGGCGTGGGTGGGTAGAGGCACCAGACCCTGTGAACACCTTTCCAATCTGGAGCCATCCGTTGCCTGGCTCTCCTCCCGTACCATGCTTGGACTTTAGCGTTCTCTCCAGGTGGAGACCCCACCCCTATGACGGTAGCTTCCTATGTTGTAACCCACTCTTTGCCCCAATGTCTTAGCAGAGTCTCCAATTGAGCAGGGACAAAATGGAATTCCCAAATGTCCCCTCCCCCCATCTTTGTGGCTGGACATGCCATCCTTCAAGCGCAAAACCTCGGGAGTGGTGGTTGATTCCTCTCTCACTCCACATCCAATATTCCAGGGCACCCTCTCCTCTCTACCTCCCTGCAGAACACCTCCGGAATCCAACCCCATCCTCCCTTCTCATGCAGTAAAGGCCACATCCTCACCTGGACCCACAAGGCCTTGCATGATCTGGCCCAAGCTGCCCTCTGCCCTCACTTCTCACCATCCTCCCCCTATCCATTCTTCCCCTGCTTCCTCCCTCTGCCCTTCTCTGAACACAGCCAGGCTCCTCTCTCTGTTTGGAAGCTCTTCCTGCACTACCTGCGCTGTGCAACGCAGCAAGGAGTGGCTGAGCCAACCAGGCCCATTGTGTCAGGTCAGGGAGACCCTTACGTGTTAAATCCAGCCACCATATCCAAGGGGATCTTGACCACCAGCTCTTGGCCATCGGTCGAGGGTTGCACTTGCACCTGGAGGATGCTGGCGGAGGTGACCTTCAGCCTGGATGGGATGCAGAAGAGATGAGAATCAAATGAGCATTGTCCCCAAACGTGTTCCCCTCTATCTTTCCCATGTCCCTTGGGTATCTAGCTGGCGATGGATCCCAGGCCCCGGTGACTGACTCCTTCCCAGTACGCTGTTCTCCCACTCCCCACCTCACAGCGTATGACTGGCACTCTTTCCTCTCTTGGCTGGATCTCAGCTTCTTGGACTGCCTGACCCACCCTCTCCATTTACTCCTTACCATGGGCTGGAGCTGCAGCCTTCCTGACAGACCCTCCCACCCCCGTGCCTCTGCCAAGGCTGGCTGTTTTCTTCTGGCCTCTTAATGAACTCTGAGTCATTGGCTCAAGCCAATGAGAAGCGTTGTCTCATTCCCACCCCGGTGACCTTGGTCTGGGGTTCCCTCTATTAAGAGTTTCTGTGTCATTGTCTTGTGGTGACTGTTAACTACGCTGGGAGCTTCTCGAGGAAGGGGTTCCCACTCAGCCAGGCAGAGTGGACACGCATTGAGGCTTGTGGATTGAGCATGTCAAGTACGTTCAGGGCAGCAGAGCAGAGGGGGTGGCGCGGGGCCAGGGGATTTAGAGACGTGTGCCCTGTTTTCCTTACCAGACGATGTATTTCAGGATGGAGTTCACCAGGCTGCCCAGCAGAGGGATGCCGCCGGCTGGTTCCCCTTGCATGGCATTGAGCAATGGCAGCTGGTGCAGGATGCTGACTGCATCATGGTCCTTCAGCTCCTGCGTCAGCTCTAGAGGAAGAGCCAACAGTTAGAGTCAGGGGTGGAAGGCAGGAAGAAGGTCTTGGTGAGGGCTTCAGCCTGGGAAGGACATCACTCAGGAACCCTTGGACTCTGATGGCAGGTGACAGTGTGGATGGCTTCATCTTGCTCATCTCTGTTGTGTAGCTGGGACCTTGACGATGGAGGCCCAGATGGGTCATGTGCAAATGAAAATGTGTGAAGCTGGATGCACAGTTGGGACCATTCACAGGCTGGTAGAGAGCCAACCTCTGCCAGGAGAGTTGGCAAGTGTGCTCAGAACATGGACTTGTATCCTCTTCCCCAGCCAGTAGGCCAGCAGTTCTCAATCTGTGGGTTGTGACCACTTGGGGGGCGGGGGGGAGGTCTAACGACCCTTTCACAGGGGTTGCCTGATTCATAACAGTGGCAAAAGTATAGTGATGAAGTAGCAATGAAAATAATGTTATGGTTGGGGCGTCACCACAACACAAGGAACTGTATGAAAGGGTACAGCCTTAGGAAGGCTGAGAACCACTGCAGTAACAATATTCCAGAGCCAAGAGATAGGGACCTCACAAGGCCCAGCTTGGGGAGGTGTTAGTGCCCAAATACAATTGTTACCAATTCTATGGTAGCTGTACCAATTCTAGGAGCCTGTTGTCCAAAGAATCTCAGGCACTGAGGAGAGAAAGGAGTGAGCAGGACCAGAAGGGAGTGAGTCGGCAGCCTAGGTGTTGATACCTCTAGACTTGCAGCGTGATCTGAGGCTCAGTGTGTCCAGAAGATGTTTCCGTGGAGGTAGATGTGTGTGCCGTTCCCACTTTCCCTCTCTCTGTTCACTGTGTGTATCTTAGATTCTCTGCTGAGGACTTTTTCCTTCCAGTCAGAGTCCCTTTGGCCTATGTGCAGAGAAGACCAGAGCACCTGAGAGGTGATGCCCCAGGAGCATCCCTCAGCCAATGACTGAGAAGCCATCAGGCCTCAGGCGAGATGACCCAAGTATGTATCCCAGATGGTTTTCCAGAGCCCTTGTGCTCATTGCAGTTATTGCCTCTCAACTACACATCTAATCACCCTTTTTGCTTGCTCTGTGATAATTGAGGTGGGCCCTATAAAATCTCTCCTCTGATAGCTGGCACAATGCTAAGCCCTGTTGATGGAGGCTCTGGAGGGACATTGGAGGAGGAAGGGACTTCTCTTCCTGGCCCACGGATGTATCTCCTGCTGATCTCTGTGGAGTCAGTGTCCAGTGGCTTTGGGCAGCAAGTTCAGCTGCACTCCGAAGACCAGCTAGTGAGTTCTCTGAGCTCCCAGCTCACTTCCAGATTATTTTCTTGGGATGGCATCCCAGTGAGTCAACACCAACCCCTGTTCCTCCTTTGAGGGCTTCACAGAGAATTCCATGGGAATCTCAGCAGATGAGCCTCCGCCTGCCAACGGTGGACCAGTTCTGGCCTGGAACCACCCAGCAAATGTCACCATTCAGTAAGCTTCACACCACAACCTCTCCAGTGAGATTTGAACACCAGCTTTGGAGAAGACCCTTCCTCCCCAAGTTTGTTCTGTCTCTGGGGACCCTTGCCCATCCCTGGGATGTCCTTTAGAGTTCTCGTTCTTTTCTCTATCAACCAATGTCCTATTACTCAAGCCCCTGATAACAATTCTTTCTATTGCATTTATGGATTGCAAGTACTCTGTGGTTTCTAGGCCCCCATTGGCCCTACTGAAGAATACAGTGTTCCACAGGCCTGAGCTCCAGTCTCCAGAGTGCTAACTCCCTCTCTCGGACAAGCAGGTGTTTTCTGCGATCGCCTCCCAAATAAACCATGTGTGCTGGGGGAACCTCAGCCACAGGTGCTGACCTCCACGCTCCTTCTGGAGCTCTCAGCTGTCTGGCCTGCTTGGTGAATTCAAGTCCACGGCCATCTGGCCCGGGCACAGGGCCACTGAATATAGAGGTCATATGCACTCAGTAAGTTAGTGGTGGACTTCCTAAGTTGACTGAACATCCTTCTTTCTGGGACCACAACTGAGAACAGGGGTTCTCATTTTCCCCCAGAGGGTCACTGGCCTATCTAAAGACATTTCTAGTTGTCACAATTGGGCCTGGAATGCTATAAACAGCCAGTAATGTACTGAACAGATCTCCCCAACAAAGAGTTAATCCCTGCCACTGAGTTGATCGGCTCATAGCTACCCTGTAGGACAAGGTAGAACTTCTCATGTGACTTTCCAAGACTGTAATTATACAGGAGTAGAAAGCCCCATTTTTCTTCCATGTAGCAGCTGGTGGTTTGGAACTGTTGACCTTGCAGTCGGCAGCCCAACGTATAACCACTACACCACCACCAGGACTCCTGAAACAAAGCGTTATCTGAGTCTCAATGTCAGTAGTACTGAGGCTGAGAAGCCCAAGTGTAGAGTTTAGAAAGGGCTTGTCAGTTCCCATCTCGTTGAGTGCTCCCAACCCCCCTGAGAGGCAGGCCCTCTTGTTGGATCCAGAGGCGGCAGCTAGAGGCTCAGGGATGTGCAAAGTCACAGGGCTGGAGAGGGATAAAGTCGAGGGTTTTGCTCCAGGGACTAGCAGGACACAAGGTCTAATGTAGAAGAGGGGCTTTCATGATGGGGTTGCAGGCAGGGCCAGTTATATCATCACACACGGCCATGCACCCATTTGGAAGGGCATGGAAACTTAGAGCGGGGCATTCTTGGCACCTCCGGAACTAAATTATGGGATGTGAGGATTCACAGAATCATGACCTCTTGAGATCATCACTGCCATCGAGTCGAAGCAGACTCATAACGACCCCTACAGGACAGGGTAGAACCACCCCCCGTGAGTTCCCGGACTGCAACTCTTTGTGGGAACGGAGAGCCTCACCTTTCTCCTGCAGAGTGGCTGGTGTGCTCAAACCACTGACCTTGTGGTTAGCAGCTCAGTTCATCGCCCGATAACCCACCTGGACTCTTTCCCGAGATCACAGACACCCCCGACTTTGTAGTCTGCCTGGCACACCCTCAGTGATGGGGCGCTCCGCCCCACCTCCCCCAGTGCTTTATGGTGATGCGCCCCGCGTGGCCAAGACTTACTTTCTTGGATGACTTCTGGACCTAGGTTGAGTACTGCAGGGGGCATGAGGGTGGTGTGTACCAAAGTGGCTGCCAGCAAGCCACAGATGAGGGTGAAGGTCCGTTGGCCGGCCATCTTCCAGCAGGGGCGATGTCAGAACCTGGGTGAGTACAGAGGGCCCTGTTGGATGGTGCAATGGGACGTGGGGTCAGGGGAGGCTGTTTAGGGCAGTGGTTGAGAGTGTGGGCTCTGGAGCCTGGGTCTATGAACATGCCCTGGCTCGGCTGCTCGCTAGCTGTGTGGCCTGGGGCAATCCACTAGCCTTTCTGTGCCTCTGCTTTCTTAATATACCAATGGGCCCCAAACTTCTTTAATAACGCTGACTCATTGAGTTGGCATCTGGAAAGCATTTAGCATCGTGTCTGGCACACGATGAGCACTTGGGAAATGTTGGCTATTTTCATTCAGGATGAAAGACCCCCACCTCCTCCGTGCTGCCCCCCTTACTCTATAGAGTGCCAGACTTTCCAAGGTCCTTGAAGTTCCCAGAATATGCCTGGTTCTCCCCTGGGTCTGTGCCTTACCCACACTCCGCTTGCTTCCTGGAATGCTTTCTTATCTGCCTACTGAACTCCTATTCATCCCTTAAAACTCTGCTCAGGCACTACCTCCTCTGTACAGCTTTCCATCTCCAGCAGGGATCCTGGACCACACTTGGAAAATTATTGTCTTGGGAGCTGGTGTATCCAGGATGGAATTTTGGTGGCAGGAGGGAAACGGGAGTTCAGGCAGACCCCAAGAATGCTCACCTATGTGATTCCTCTTACATGGGAAACCTTTCTTGCTTCCTTTGCCTGAACTCACTGCCATCGAACAGATTCCGACTCACCATGAGCCTGTGCTTTCTGAGGCTGTAAAGCTTGATCGGAGCGGATAGCCTCGTCTTTCTGCCTTGGAGTGGCTAGGGGGTTTGAACTGCCGACCCTGAGGCTAGCAGTCCAATGCTTACCCTATAGCGCCACCAAGACTTTCCTTAGTCAGTGTCAAAACTCAGTTTGTCCCTGCCATAATACCTTGTCCAAAAAACCTACCCTGACTACCCTGGTCTTCTCTGAGCACCACACTGGCCTGCACGGAGTCACTGCCGATGGGGACAGTATCTGATGCCTTTCTTTCCTGACAGCTCACCGCTGCACGGGCCGGGTCCAGGGTACCCAGTGTGGGCAGAGGAGGTCTGTTAGGGGATCAAGCTCAGGGGGAACTCCCTCAATCTTGTCCCTTTGGTAAGTGAGAGAACTGGGTGCCCCTCGACCCCTAGGCCCTGACCTTTAGTGTCCAAGGGACTGTAGTCTGGGTCCCAGCCTCCCTCCTGCTCCTGACCTGACCCTGGCAGGTATCACTGCCCAGAAGTTAGCTGACAGCTTAGTCCTGAGCCCCTTCCTTGCACCCTTACCTGGACGCAGGCAGTCCTTGCCCACCACTCTCTGCTCCTGAGCAGTGGGCCTGCAAGCCGAGCCTTATATCCTGCCTTGGTCAGCCCAGCCCATCACTCTTTGCATGTTGGCTGAGACCTCAGGCAGGGTCAAGGTCTCCAAGGTAAATATTTGTGGCTCTCTGTGAACCACAGCCCCGCCCGGAGGTAGCTGTGGGACACCAACTTCCTGAGCTTGGGAGAAAGGAGGGTCTGGGCTGGCATGCGGGGGGCAGGTGAAGCGCTGGGGCTGGTGACTGATGGGCTGGACGGGGGACAGCTTGGGCCGTGCAAGGGGCCCCTGTTTCCTGGGCAGTCAATGCCCTGCGGCAGCCACGACAGGAGTAGCAACGTGGCTGGAAGGAGCCCTGGTGACACAGTGTTTATGAGTCGGGCTGCTGACCGCAAGGTCAGTGGTTTGAAAGCACCAGTCACCCCTCAGGAGAAAGATGAGGCTTTCTACTCCCTTAAAGAGTGACAGTCTCACAAACTCACTGGCGCAGTTCTAGCCTGTCCTATAGGTTCGGTGTGAGTTGGAATTGATTCCAAATGGCCGAGCCAGGATTTGAACCAGATCCCACCAGGGCGGCCTCCATAGTGTGGCAGACCCAGGGCTGTCCTGGGGACAGACAACACCTGAGTCCTGGCCCCACTGCTCTCACGCTGGGTGACTTGGGGCACATTTTCTTTTCATCTGTGAAGGCAGCAATGGCAGGGACACAGTGCATAAGGCACAGGTGCCGGCACAGAGCGAGGGCTTCAGAAATGTGAGCGGTTCTTATTGTTGTTGGTAGAAGGATGGAGCAGATTATGATCATAGTCAGTCCAGAGAATCCACCCGGGGAAAGGGAGGTATAGCTTGTTGCCCCCTCAGGATCCACAGCTTCACGAATTAATTCACCAAAGAGAATGAATCTAGATTTCATTTTTGCCACTTCTATCCTGCGTGGCCCTAGGAGAAGTACGACACTTCTCTGACCTTATCATAAAACCCAACCCAAACTCCCTGACCTTGAGTTGATGCCGACTCACAGCAACCCTCTCAGACAGGGTAGAACTGCCCCTGTGAGCTTCCCAGACTGTAACTCTTTATGGGAGCAGAAAGCTCTTCTTTCTTCTGCTGCCGAATCCTAACTTAGGGATGATACAACTCCTCCCTCCTAGGGTCAAAGAGCGTAGTATGAGGGGTGAGCCCCTTAGCACAGGGCTCCAGTCCACTCCTTCTGCAGGATTGTTGTCTTGAGTGGAGCAGCCCCAGTGGCTCTATAGGCTGCTACCCACAAGGTTAGTGGTTCAAATCCACCAGCTGCTCCTCTGGAGAAAGACAAAGCGGTATATACTCCCATGAAGATTTACAGCCTCAGAAACCCCGTAGGGAGTCCCTGTGAGCTGGAATTGACCCTATGGCAGTGGGCTGGAGCATGCTTTAGGATGCCAATGAATATGTGTGTCATAAATAGACACTGAAGGCTAACCTTGAACCAAGGGGACATTGGTGAACAGGCCCCTGGGGCCCCGTCAGCACCACCCATTAACCTGTACAGTCACTGAGCAGGTGTCAGTAGCCTGGATGCCCCTGAAGGCATCGAGGTGGGTGACTGGCTTAAGGTCACATGGCCACAGCTGGAATTTGAACCTATCCATCCGGCCCAGACCACCTGGTCGTGGCACCATGCCCTCCTAACTCAACAACTCCAGGTAGTGATGCTAACACTGCCCTTTGCGGTGGCCTGGGACACAGTCCTTGCTGCCAACTTTAGTCTAGAAGCAGGGATGCAGTTAGAGCTGGGAGGGCCATTGAGCTAGTCGACTCCCCTCTCTGTCTGCTCCAGGGACAAGAGAGGGACTGTGAGTGTCCTGAGGTCACACAGCACAGGACAGGTCCCTGGCCGAGCCCTTCTTCCTGGTGGTGAAGAGGAACAAGGGGCAGGCCGTTTGCCAAAAGGACCAAGGTCCTCATCACCACAGAGGCTTCTGGGAAGGACCCTGTCAGTCCGTTGGGCACATCTCCAGAGAGGCCCTCACCCCACCACACCTGCTGCCCATGGACAATGCCCCTCTGTGGCATGCCGGAGCCCAGTGCCAGGGCCTGGGCCTATGTCAGCTCCTGCTTCCTGCCTATGGGCCCTGACCCATTCGCTGGGTCAGCAGGCATGACTGTCCCCTGTAGACCTGGTGTCTAGAGCCCCTGCCCTGTCACAGCCTGCGACAGTCCTGCCTTCCATGCTGCCAGGGGCTGGTCTGTCCTGGCCTCACCCCTTGCCAGCCTCCAGGCCGTTACTTGCCTTTGGCTGAGTATCCCCCCTCTGTCTAGGCAGAAGGGCAGCGGGAAGCCCCTGGAGTCCAACAGACAGGGCTCTAGTCCTGCCCTGTACTTGTCAGCTGTGTGACCTTGGAAACGCGCTCCGTCTCTCCGAGTCTCTTTTTCCTTAACGGCAGAATGAAACTGGTTTGAGGGCTACGGACCATGCATGGGAAGCACCTGGAACACTGAACCGTTTAGGAAATGGCAAATGCTCTCCTTATCACAGCATGTTCTCAGGTGGGTCAGATGACTAAGCACTTCATGACTGACTGAAAAGTGGGTGGTTCGAACCCACCAGAGGCACCTCAGGAGACAGGCCTGGAGGGTCCCAGCCTCGAAACCCTCTTGGGGCCATTCTCCTCTGCGCACACGGGACTGCCAGGCGTCAGCACCACCAGGACAGCAGTGGACAACAATGATTGTGGCTATTGAGATAGTAACGCCACTGCACCGAACTTTGTCGTGCCCTGGTGGCCCAGTGGTTACGTGTTGGGCTGCTAACCACAAGGTCAGCAGTTCAAAACCACCAGCCACTCCTTGGGAGAAAGATGAGGCTTTCTGCTGCCATAAAGAGTTACAATCTCAGAAACACACGGGGGCAGTTCCACCCTGTCCTGTAGGCTTGACTCAGTTGAGTTTTAAGCACCGCCCCTCAAGCCCAACCAACCAGAAAGCAATATCTATAGAAAGCTTTCCTCGATCACTGTCTGCCGCCCAGTGTCCTCTGTCCTCTCCCTCCTCTTTGGCCCCCAAAGCATGTTGACTCTGCGGGGGCTCCAGAGATGTCCACGTCATGGAGTTTCTTCCTTGTTTCCCTTCCTCCGCCCATCCTCCTTTCCTCTCTCCCTCCCCTGCTGCTTCCTTTTCCTTCCTCCCTGTTGCACCAGCCTCCCCACCGAGCCCCTCTGAGTCCAATGTTCACCCCCCAGCCAGAGTGAGCGCTTGAAAACATGCCTCGGACGGTCGCTGTGCTGCTCCTTAAAACCCTGCCGTCGTGTCCACTGCTCACTAGCGGGAGATTGAACCCCCTCAAGGCCCCCGCGTGGTAGACCACCGCCACTCTCAGCCCTCTGTCTCTGTCTCTCCCTGTTTTGCTCCTCCGGCCTCTGGGCCTGACCTCCGGGCCCTGGCCTGCACCGAGCTGTCTCCCGATAGCTTTGCGCCTGGCTGGCTCCTGGTCCACCACACCTGGGCTTCACTGTGATCTCCTTGGACAGCCCTTTTCCGGCTCTCTGTCTCCAGCAGGGTGTCTCTCTCCCCTCCCCACCGCTGGGCTTTCCCTGTCCAAGTGTCTTTAAAGACACCGTGGATGTTACCTGCCCATGGGGGTCAGAGCTCAGTGCTGATTGTAAAGCAGGT